CCTGGGATTGAACCCCAGGTCGTGAGCACAGTTTTGGCTGCAGTACAGCGGTTTAACCACTGTGCCACGAGGCTCAGTGAAGGTTTGATAGCTCAGTCAGTGGCTCAGGTATCTGGCTGCAGAGCTAGAAGTTGAAGGTTCAACTGCCCACTGTGGAAAAGAGCCAGCCTGTGTGGCCTTGGGCAAGCTGCACAGTCCCAGAAGAAGGGACTGTGCCAGAAGGAGGGAATGGTGAACTGCTTCTGAGAACTCTCTATTAGAAAACCCTGAAAAGGGTCACCATAAGTCAGAATTGACTTGACAACACACGATGATTAAAGGTGTTTCCCCTCATTTTTTTGGAGGGAGGGGTGTAGCACAGATGTGTGCAAGCCTGCAAACAAATGCTCTGACAAGAATTAAAGGCTGTTTAATTTCAGAAGATTTTGTTTCAGGATCAATTAATTCCTTGCCTTCAAGTATCTGGATGTATTTCAAGAAAACAAAATATATCTCTCAAGCAGCGGGACAAATGCTGCCCTAGGGCATTAACACAAACCCAATTAATAGCTATAATTTGGTGACTTTGCAAGTAATGAACTTTTCCAGCAAGGTTTGCATGGCTATGTCTTAAGAAGACTATTTCACACACTCACACACACACACACACCCACACACACACACACACCCACACACACACACACACCCACACACACACACACACCTAACAGCAGTTTTCTCACAAGAAAACACCACCCAGAGATTACTGAGCCGAGGTGTTGATTTGTTTATCTGGAGTTAGTAACAGTGCTGTAGGGGTAACTCTGGAAGTGCAAAGTCTCATCCATACATTTCCTATGGTGACCCCATCACAGAATGAGAGTCTGAACAGGCAGGCTGCTGGATCAGTGCATATCAACAATTCAGAAGCAAGCCTTTTGTATAGGCGATGCCTCTTAATTACCCATTCAAGACCAAACCACCCTGAAATATTCTGCACCACAACAGAACACACTTACAACAATATACTCTTCCTAAGAAAATCGATTTCCCTCCCAACTACTGGGAGCGGAGCTCAGAGGAAACCTGGGTAGTGGAAGTGAGAGCTGGCAGACAATGTCATCGTCCCGGCTGCTACAAAAATCCTCAGGATTTTATACCACCACTTAGTAGCGATATGAATGAATGATGCCAGTGCTCCCTGTTTTGAACGATTCGATCTACTTCTGACAAGGGCCTACTAGCCCTACCCTTTCCCCTTTATATCTCTGTTGGTTTTTGAAAGAGTGGCACTTCCCAACTGGGGTGGTGTTGTGAACAGGATCTGAACTGGTGACACTGTGTAATTTTCACATAGAACTATAGAATTCTAGACTTGCAAGGAACCGCAAGGGAGACTGAGTCCACCTCCTAATGAAGCTGGAAACCCACAGCTAAAGCATGCCTGACAGGTGCCATTTACCTTCCGTTGAAAAACGCCAATGAGGGGAGAGTCCACATCTTGTCCTGGGATTAAGCTGAATTCTGAGGAACTGTGTGTGTGAGTACATGCACAAACCAGTGCCACAGAGATTAATATACAATGGAAGACAAGACATGCATACACAGTGCTTGTCAGCTGCTTCATAAGTGAGGTAAGCCCAAGAACCTTGAACTTACCTACAAGAATTTATCTGAAATGTTTCCTATTTTGAAATTATTTTAAAGAAAACTTCTTTCATCTCCAATTAATTGAAGATCGCCAAAATTCTCAGGGGAAACATTGTTGGCCTAGCACTTATCTTGATACTCAGGAACAACTGGATATTGCAATGAATAAGAAATAAGGATGAGAGGGTGTCTTTTCTGTTCCCTCCTCCATTTCCCACCACACTTGATACGGATGGCATTAAAACTATCAGAAGTCCCAGTGGTGCAAAAGCTAAAAATGTTGTCAATCTATTTTACAAGACCAGTGTAGCACATTGGCCTTCTGTCAAGAGGTTTCTACACCATGGGGCAAATAAAACTGCATTGCGTTTTAATTTGGTAGATAACCTTGAGTTTTTCTTGTGTGCTTACATGGGCAAATACTATTGGGGCCACAATCCAAATACAGGCACAACTTTTTCTGGATATTTTGGGAAATCTGGATGAGTGTTTCTCAAACCACAGTTCCCATTGCTATGTGGTCAACTATCTCTCCTCGCAATTAAAGCACACTCTCAATATAGTTTCTGTGTGATACAGTGTTTGGATCTACCGAAACACAAAACGGAGGTATTTTTAAAAAGCCACATGATATTGCCCATGCCATAGTATTTTGTAGAGAAGCAATAGTTTGAGAATTTTTGTGCTGCAAAATTTAACTGAGGAATGTAGGAAAGAGTTCTTTCATTTTGACCGCTCTCAGATGGAAGATTACATTTTATTGGCTCTGTTTTCCCTGGACATACTTCACTAGTGCTATTGTGTACGTGGCATAGATAGATAGGAGACAAAGAAAAAACTGAAGTGGTGCCATTTTTTACTAAAATGCAGAGAAGAGAGTCATAGAAACGCCACAGTCAAGTAGCTGACAAAGACCTTTCCCCCGGGATTTAGGCGACAGAAGCCTCTAGGTGTCTCCGTTTTAATTGCTTCACAAGTGTAAGCAATTACAGTGTAACTGTAATTGTGTTGCCAAGTACAACAAAGAACATTTTAAGAAATAAATGGAAAGCAATCTGTTTCTAGGTTCACTGGCAAGGCAGAGTGGTTAACTGGTGAAATCACCCTGCCCTTGTGAGAAACGATTCAGGTGCTACCACCAGTTCTGACTTCAAGCAGCAACAACACACTACACATTTTTGTGCTGGACTGCTCTGTGCTTTATGGCATCAGTTGAAATAATAAGATTATTGTTCACTTGCGTGCAAAGCTTGCACTCAGGGATTCTTCTTGCTGCCTCCTCCCTAGAAACCGCAGCAGTGTTGGGCTGCACCTTTTCCCTCAGCAACTCACCCCCCTCACCTTACAGGTAAACACTGGGTATCCACACAGAATCCCTGCAGGAGAAAAGCTCCACCTCAGCCCTCAGTGAGCCACACGGTACTGGGAGATAGCACCGGGCTGCTCTGGTATTCCTCCTCACTGACTCAGCAGCAACAGAGCCGAGGGACATGAGGACGTGAGCTCAGTCATGCTGCCGTCTAGTGAGAATGAGAGTTCACCTGATTGGTCTCCAGCCTCTCTTCATTGCCTCCCTTTCAATTGGTCCCCCTCACTTTCTCCCTTCACATCTTTAACCAAGACCTTGAAAGAGTGTGAACCAAGGGAGGAGGAGTCGGAAGTGCTGCTTCTGTGTCAAATCTGGGCACACATTGCTGGGGGGGTAGGAGATAGTTCTGACATGACATTCCCCCACATGACAGGGAATGCAACTGGTGGCCCTACATATGTTGCTGGATGGCAAAACCCATAATCTTTAATCACTGTCAGAACTGTGGCCCAACTGCAGCTAGAAGGCAACATGTCGTATTCCCTATTACACTAGCATATGATATTCGTTTCTGGGAAAGGCAAAAAGAATGGACAGTTAGACCTAGGATTTTTTTTTGCCAACTTCAGCTCTGTTGAAACCAACCTCAAGGGGCAAGTTTTGATGGCCTGGGCTCACTGTATCTGAGCAAGCAATTCACCCAACATGAACCCATCCATCTGTTAGAATCAGCAAAAGAGTCCCTCCTGAAAGACTGCTCTTTGAGATCCACCCGAATAACGTTTAGGGGCAGGGGGGAAAAGTGAACAACTATGATCATTTGAAGCAGAACAGCATTGTGTGCTGGTAACATAATAGGTGATGCATGCCAAGTAATTGCTAATTAGGTAGGGAACATTTACTAGCATCCAGTTTGGTGCCTACGTTAACACTGGCACTATGCAATGTACAGCCATCTTGCATTTCCCCTCATAACTGATTTTATGTGTGAAGAGTGGGGAAAGGCAGGAGGGAAAATGTGGGAGAGTTTTAAAAGGAAGATGTCATAATCTGGACCCCCATAAAATTCTGTTTTTGAGGCAGGTTGATTACACAATAATATCATATGGAAGCATCCTAGTTTTCTTCATAATGAGTTTCCGTATTTATACAGTCATGGCCAAAAATATTGGCAACCTTGCAATTCTGTCAGAAAATGCAACCCTTCTCTCAGAAAATTGTTGCAGTTCCAAATGTTTTGGTACTCATGTGTTCAATTCTTTGATTTGCATTGGAACAACGCAAAAAAAGCAACAACAGAAAAGAAAAGACTATTCTAGCTGCTGCATATGAGCAGCTAGAATATTCAGCTCATGTTATTGACCTTGAGGTGTCACAAAGTGGATTTGGATACAAATGCCTATGGCTCAACCCAGAACCCCACCACCATCAAGGATCTATTATATTCATGTCTGAAAAAAGCAAGAATATTGGAGTAGTCTTGCTACATACTTTTATGCCTGTGAACAGAATGGCAGAGACTCAGGTCAGCAATCTACAATGTTGGTTCTTCTCGATACAATAAATGTAATTCTAATTTACCTTCCCCTGCTGGATTACTTTGTCTTGATCAAAAAAACCACATACGATTCAAACGTCTGAAGTTATTTTCAACAATTAAGGATGTTCTATAAAAGATACATGTTCCTGTCATGCAACCTAGTATGCAACAGATTAGAAATCTGCAGATATTTCTTAGCTTGTGGTGATTCACCTCCAAAATTCGCACTTTTTGTATAACTAACAAACAGGATTTCAACCAATATGTATTATTAGATTTGGCTTGGCTCTACTGACTTCTTAGACATTAGCTTATTATTTTTACACTAAAGCAAATACTATTATTAATTACTACTAAATGCAACACCATGTGAATCAAGAATCTAATGATGCAAACCCAACTTCATTCAAGCCTCAACTGTGATATTTACAAATAGGATATTCAAGAGCGTGGCACACTGGAAAAACACATTAAAAATACTAGGAGGAAAGTTGCAACCTAATAGGAAAGGAAATGATATAATGGCTTGAACACACATTTTTAAATATCCACTTTTATTCAGACTGATCATGGTTAAAAAGGGTATCAATTAATCATTCTGTACTGACCTGTGTACACAAAAACACCATTATCTTCCCTAAAGAAACAATTTCATGGCATGAATTTCATGTAGTTCATAGGCACCTATAGTCTAATAGCAACTACATGGGAATTTGGAAGGATCACCTGAGCACATCTGCCTTTGCATGTGAATACATGCTCCTTATGTTTCATTTCTCCTAGAACAAAAGAGGTTATATTAGTTGTATTAGAGATTCTGAGAAAAGCCGAAGTAAACCCTGCTTAGTGACCTGGGACAAAAGGGTTGGTGCATCTCATGTGTGGTTATAGGCACTAGTTATCTACCACCTTCTTCTGAAATAACTACTTGTGGAAGGACAGATTCCAATGATGTAAGCATGGTCCATGAAGTCTAATATGTACATATACATGGTGTATACATAGACTAAGATACCCCGAGCTGCCTGAACAGGGGTGGCAAATTTGTGGTTCTTCCAAGTATTACAACTTCCAGCATCCCTGTCCACTGGCTATGCCATCTGAGGCTGATGGAAAGCGGAGTTTGACAACATTGGGAGAGTCAAAATTTGCCACTCCTTTGCTAAATGTGTGCAGCTCTCACTGGAATTGTCAAAATGTCTACTCATTCAGTTCCCTTTCCACTGCAGAGCATAGCGGATGTGTGTTTTTATTCAAAGGTTTTGACATCTATAGTAGATTTGTCAGATTACTATGAGCAGAGAATTAGTCAGATTAATTAGAGTTGAGAATACACCCATTGTCCCCTCTTTTTCCCATCAGATGGACAAAGCAATTGCTCAAGAAATATGAACTGCAGGTCCACTTGCAATTTAAGCAAATACAGAGGAGGGGGAAACATGAAGTGCTATGGCCATAGGCTGCTTGTGTTGACAGTAGGGGGTAGCCCATAAATTGTGGTAACTCTCAGATCTGTCTTCAAGGGATCAGGGCTGAAATCTGTTAGTGTGAGATGGTGGAAATGGCATATTAGCAAGTGAACTGTGCCAAGAGCTAAGTTAATGATCCAAGGAGCCCTCCCCATAAGCCCCCTCCACAAAAAGCTTCAAATGGGAGAGTGATCCTTCTAGCCGGGGTTAGGCATACTAGCAAATCCGTGGGCCTAAGAGACAGCATTTTAGAAGCCTGGAGACTCAAAAGCAGCACAAATTTCTTCCACTGAGCATTTGCCACAAATATTTCTGAGTCTGAAAACAGATACTCCCTTGGTCTCCAAGTAAAACCCTGTTACAGTAAATAAAGCTCACACCCTTTCCTGTGAATACAGATCTTTAAGATAACATTCATGTCACAGATTGGGGAGGGGGGAAGCCAAACAAAACCAACACTTCCCATGGCAAAAACTTGTGTAGCATAACACCTTTGAAGCCCTGAAGAAAGCCCAGTCCCCAAGGGTCCAACCTGTGTGGCAGCTGGAAAGCTTTTAGCTCTTTGCAGTTGCCAGCTCAGTTATGCCACAAAATAAGACTTGTGAACACATAGCAAAGACAATCACCATAGATTAGACCTAACTGATAAGGATAGCAAAACCTGCCTCAAAAGGGGGAGGGGAAAAATAAGCTTCACAGCTTCAATGATATGTTTCATACCAAAATCCCTGATGAAAAAGAAATAACTAGGTGGCCAGAGAAAAAAAACAAGCAGGCAGGAATGTTCTGTGCTTTCTCAAACCATCGAAAGTCCATATAATTAAAAGGCAAGTCAATGTTAACCCAGATCAGTATAATTATGTAAAAATATGTTGTTCCAGTTCTAGCTTCTTTTGTGCTTTTAGTTGAGACTGACACTTTGTGAGGTTCAAAAACAGGGGGAACTGTGCATCCCCTGTTATCCAAGTCCAACATCCAGAGACATCATGACCACAAATCCCAGGATGGAGGTCCAGGAAGCCAGCTTCCCATTGCCACTGCAAAGAGGGGATGAAAGAGAAAAGGAAACGTCTGTAATATGTTTGATTTCTTTTCGAATGACACAGTCATGTTTTTTCCTTTACCCAAAAACAGTCCTGTCTTCAACTTCATTTTTCCCTCTAGTGAAAGAATTGGAAGACTGTACTCTTGAAGGCTTTCACGGCCGGAATCCGATGGCTGTTGTAGTTTTTTTGGGTTGTTTGGCCGTGTTCTGAAGGTTTTTCTTCCTAACGTTTCACCAGTCTCTGTGGCCAGCATCTTCAGAGGACAGGAGTCAGAACTCTGTCTGTGCTCTGGTGCAGTTTGTGGGATAGTTGAGTATTTATAGCTGTGGGATCAGCTTTTTGTCCTTTTCAGGAGATTGGGTGATTATGGTGATCAGTGTGTCTTTTGTTGTGGGTGTATTGTTGTGATAAGGGGGAGAGATGATCTGTCACTCCTGTTCTTTGAAGATGCCAGCCACAGAGACTGGTGAAATGTTAGGAAGAAAAACCTTCAGAACATGGCCAAACAGCCTGAAAAGCCTACAACAACCAAATGGAAGTATCATTCCAAGCTCTGTACACCACAGGAAGTAAATTATGGATCCTCAGTTCCCAAGGCTATTAAATGCACTGCATTCAGAGAACCTGGTTCATACACGTGTCACTCTGTGTGCATATGGCAGCACAAACATCATTCTTTTTCTCACACTAGTCAAATTACTTTTCAAAAAAATGTATCAACAACCTTGTTGTATTGTACTAAATTTGTGACTACTGCTGAATTTCTTATTTGAATACTTGGATACAACTACAGCTTTAAATACACATTCATTTTACTTTTTTGAACTACAGCTCCCAGAATCCATAAGCCAGTATGGCCAGCTGAGGAATTCTGGAAGATCTTTTTTTAAAAAAGGAACACTTCAAGTGTTGCAATGCTGAGGTCCCAGCACAGAGGGTATAAAAGCAAAGCAAAGCAAAGTGTGGTTTTCTCTATCTGGTTTACAAGTTAATGATGCAGGCTACACATTGCCACCCAGAAGGATAGAAGGCTGAGTCAACCTTGAGCCGGCTACCTGGGATTGAACCCCTGGTCGTGAGCACAGTTTTGGATGCAATACAGCAGTTTAACCACTGCACCACATGGCTCTACTAGGTGAAATGCTTTGCTATCATAAAGAAATGCTGGGTTATTATGTCTGAGCATGATTATAAAACAAGAGTAGAGGATGTACTTCTGCAGGATGCTGAACCCTCTACTCACCACAATTTACTTTCCTGTAATTTCGTCTCCTGTGGTGATCCCTGTCTCATCACCAGATGGGTCTCTGACACTATTTTTAAAATTGCCTTTTCACCCTGAGCTGAAATCAATGCAAATGCTTTGAGAGTAATCTCCCTCTTTTGAGTTAGAGCAGGTTCTTACCTATCTCACCTAAAGGACTTTGGTGTTAAACAGGGTGAAGAAGGAAACACACTGGAAGCAGACACATAGGAGTTCCTCACCTGACCTGTGCTTCTGGGATAATGTCATCCATCACCACATACACCATTGCCCCAGCCGCAAAAGCCAAGGCGTAGGGGAGAAGTGGCTCTGCTAATACCACAGCAAAGGCACCAAAGAGACCAGCTAATGGCTCCACCATACCGCTTAATTGCCCGTACCTGTCAAACAAGAGGAACAAAAGTCAACTTGTCAGGCACTTTTAGGCAGGGGCAAATGATACTAGTTCTTTATGTGCAGGGTTTTATTTTTTATTTTTCTCCCCTTCCCCCTCAAGCTGCCACAGTCTGGAGAGCAAAAAGTCAATACAAATCGGCTCTTTTCCCTTTCTCTCCTCTGAATCTCCTTCCACAGCCTGGACAAGAGGGATGTTTATCAGCTCTTACAAAACAAACAGAAGCTGAGTCATTCAAGAGCAAACATGGCAGGAGACTTAGACAATTGGCTGTCTTCAACCTGAAAGATGACAAAAAGGGCATAGACAAAGGATGAGAACAGCTGCCTGCAGGAGGCAGGCCACCTTCTTTGGTTATTTTGTTCTCCCCGCACTGCCTTTTACAGCAATATTCCAGCATATTAAATGATGTTAGGAGGCTACCAAAATAAGAATTCCTACCAATTGATTATTAAATAAAAATTCTGGAATAAGGAAATTACATAAAATCCACACAAAACATATGCATTATAGGAGGAATGTCAGAAGAGGCATGGGATGCACACAGCCATTAAAATCAGTGTATTTTGCTTTTACAAATGCTCTATGTTCAAGACCTTTCCAGAAGCAAATGGTTTGTAAAGTTGGAAATGACAACAGAGGAGAGGACAGCTAGCATGTTCTGGTCATGATGTGTGGGGTACACACAAACATTTTTAATGCCTGAAAAGGGCTCATTTCAATCATGTAGACTCCGGGGCTCCATACCAGCAACAATGATGACATCATTCATATTGATTTTTAATAGAACTAGCAGAAAGTGGTGCTGAGAGAAGGTACACCATATTCAGTTGTTTAAAAAGTGTGTGTACTTCACACGTGATGGAGGGAGTATACTAGCCCCTGCTCCCTTTGTCACTTCTTTCCTCATGCAAAAGCAGTTGACTGAAAACCCTGCAATATCTGAGGAGGCTCTACACAGAATCTTTGACTTTTCTGCATTCCAGCTTGTGTCTAAAGCAACTAGCTGAAGATAATTAGCTGCCTGAGGCAAAGGACACCATTGTGTTCTCCCATCTCATTCCACAAAAAGAAGCAAGCTGGATAGGCAGTTGACTTTTATTTGACCACTGGTCACAGGACGGTGTCTTTCACCTTGGCTGAGGGCAGCAAGTTCACAGAGGAGATAGGCTGTGTGGCGCACACAGTTGTGTTCTTCAGCAGAGAAGGATAATTTGGGGCCTCAGGAAGAAGGAGTGGGGAGCTGCTGATACCCTCTCAGCCTCTACTGCCCGAGGCAGTAGCTGTACCCTGTCAGATGGTAGGACTGGCTCCAGCTGTGAAACTTGTATGTGGGTCAGATCATAGAAATGCCTCTGGGAAGAGAGATGCTTGAGCAGACTACAATTTGTGCACCATGAAAAATTGATTGAATGTTCTTCTATTTATTGCTGTGTTAAAAATATGAACAGGTAGGGTGCCCGCCTGTTCCAGCCGCTTCCAGCAGGACATATGCTACTAGAGCCTATCTGTAAACACCAAGGCATGTGGAAGTCAAATGTCCCTGGCATGCCAGTTAGCTGCTTCCTCCATTTCCCTTAACATACTGTTAATGTAACCTAGCCTGCCTCCCAATTGGCATGGTTAAAATGTGACAGCCACCCAAGATAATCAGAAGTTGCAAAAAACGGGTATGAGATCATTCTTCAGAAGTAATTTGTAGTAAGATTGCATTCTATGCTTGGGCTATGAACAGATATGATGAAAGGTTTCCTTGCTTTTCTATAATCTATGGAGTATATCTGACCAGGGGTTTCTTAGTACAGTACAAGATCCCATGAATGAAGAAGGCAACATCTGACCAGGGGTTTCTTAGTACAAGATCCCATGAATGAAGAAGGCAATAAAATGGTTGCCCTGAAGCAACCCATACCCCAAAGTCTAGCATACAAATTAGGGAAAAGTTATATTTTTGATTATACTCCCATAAACTCCCAGGAATTCTGGAAAGTGTTATCTAGAAAAGTAACTTTTCTTATTTTAGCTCTGAAGTTAATTGGAACTTTAGTGGTTTTCTTTCACACACTACTTAGGACAGGCTACAGTTCAACAGGACTGCCTAGACTTATTTAGTGGTTTTCTTTCACACACTACTTGGGACAGGCTACAGTTCAACAGGACTGCCTAGGTACTACATGAAAAGCGGGTTGCATGCAGCAGTTCCAGACCTATTAATGCACCTATTCACAGCTTAAGAAACTTACATCTCCAGAACCAAACAGTCACCTGGGTAAGCAGTAACTGCAGACCACAAATTCTGGACAAGCATCACAGTTGCAAGCAGCCACACAAAAAGGTCAGGCTTCTCTCTAAAGGCCAAGCTATACATCTCATAGTAGTCCCTAACAGGGCCAACTCAGACAGGGCAATGTTACAAGCTTAACCAGCAAATGTGGTTTGCTGAACTAGAATCTAGGTTCCAGAACTAGATTCATCATTACATGCTGAGTATGCTAAAAAGCAGGGGTCTCAACGAAACAAGAAGCTGCAATTATCTATGAATTTCTTAACTAAACCTGTCTGGAGGTTCAAGTTCTACACTGGAAAACAGGAGGATTTCCCTCTGAAATAAGAGAAACTAGTCATTGCTTAGCTGGACTCCATTTGGCTCAATGACTGCACTTTGGAGGCAGCTCTTTCCAAACCCACCCCTCCCGACTTCTCTCATCCATCATAACATTAGTACTTGTGTGTAGGCAGTAATATAACCTGACAGCTCCTGAGTTCACAGCCTTGGCTTTTTCACCTCTAGAGAAGGGGGAAAGGGGTTTTGAAATCCTGCCCGCAGAACCAGAGGGGAAAGGAGCCATTCCTTTACCCAAAGAATGTAAGCTATCCCATAAGGGCAACAAAAACAAAGCTAGCACAAACTACTGCGATAACTCCATCAGTTTAGCATTTCATTGCCCCTTAGGATGTTGGAGAACCAGATATGTGAAATAGGCTTATTATTTTGAGGCAGTTTCATTAGTAGCAGTTTGCAAGCTTTCAGGTTACAAAGTGGTCTTCTTCAAAGTAAAAATCACAAAGGCAAGTCAGCTTACGTAAAATCAGGTAATTTCAAAGGGGCAGTCATGCTCACATGTTTCAGTGTACCACGTCTATGTGCACATACACTAACACATGTATTTCATTATGGGCGTTCATGAACTGCATGAAATTTCATGGACTGTAATTCACAAAGGCCCATATTTTAAGACTAAATATTCTAGTCTTAAAAGTGCCATCAACCCTCCACTCTATGTGTGTGTTTGTGTTTTTACAGAATACATATACAGTATAACTGGTAGTTTCTGATTCTTATCAGTTGTAACACATGACTTTAAGATCTCTAAGGGACATTTGCTGTGGGCAGCTTGGGAGTCCTGTGAGCCCAGGAAAAGCATACAAATAGTAAAACCTATCGATCATTAAGACACACATAATGAGGGAGATAATGATGGACAATTTAGGGACACAAGTCTTTCCAGGCTTCTATATCTCTTTAAATAAAGTCCTAATCACCAAACACATGTACATCAGGTATACAGAGCATTTGATGAAGTAAAAGACAGTAACCAAAACAAGCAATCAGGATTTTTCAACTATATATACTAGATTCCATTAAAACACACACAGAGCTGACATCCATTTTTAATTTGACACACATGTTTCCTGATCACAGAAATACAGAGAAATCTGGTGTTAGGCGAAAAGGCATCACTGGGCTTTCTGTAATTTTCCAGTTGACTTTTTTTTGTGTGCTGGCTTTTGGCTGCCTGAAGCAAAACCCTTATGACACAACCTTGTTGTTAGGGCACATCAGTGCCAGCCCTGCTGCCTTTCATGGCGTGCTGTTAACATGAAAGGCCTCAGAGATGCACCCAGAACAAACCAGAAGGCAGGATATTAATAAAGTTAATGGTTAAAGTTATTGGGTTTTTTTCTACCTCCACGCCCCACCTCCAAAAGCTGAAGACAGTTTAAAAGTGAGATTGGTGATTGTAATATAGAAACATAGTCAAAACATTATCCCCTCTGGTTTTAGTGTTTTTCCTAAAACCAAAACAAAATGGGGGGGGGGGAAATAGAAGCACAATACTTTTGTTCGAAAAGGCTTCAAAATGAGGGCTTGACAGTGGAACAAAAAGAAGTGCACACAAAGCTCTCTTGGACCTCTCCCCTAAGTGCAAACTGTTGTTCATCTCTGGACAAAAATGTTTGAAGGCAATAGTGTTCCCAAGTGACACTGAAGGCAATCCGTGGTGACCATTGCCATTTCAAGTAGACTGACAAGATCAATCTGCGTGGTTAGAGAAGCTGTGGCACAAAACCCAACTAGTGTTCCAGTTGACATGCCTTCCATGACTCACCCTCATTCATCATGGTAATACACTCATAGTTTTAACCCCCTGCCGTATTGCACAGGTCCAGTCTGCTCTCCCCATGCCTGGTGCATGTCAGAAAGAAGTCTACTCTTTTCCTCTTCAGAAGAGAAATGTGTACGCATATTCTGGTGTAAATAAACTAATGCATGTGTCAGCAGCAGTCCAATTTGTGTTCTCCCAAAAACTTCCTTACACATTTTTAATAGCATACAAGATATGATGATAGGCAGGGCTGGCTGGCTATGACACTTGGTATTCTGAAAGGGATATGGGAGCCCAAGCTCCTTGGCAGGATCCAGTAGAGTTAATGTGGTTATTTTCTCTTCCCTCCCTGGCCACAGGCTTATTTTGCGGTGGGAGGCAGAAAGCCAGCCACCATTAAGAACTTCTCACAGTAACTTGATGTAATACCATGCGGGGGTACTGTAGTAATGGCAGGAAGTTTGCCTGCTGCCAGGAAGCTCTTGGGCACATGAAGTGGTGAAGGAGGGGACCCAGTCAAGAAGCCCTGGAGATGATGGCACTTCGAACAAGAATAAAAACTTGTGATGCAGTTTCACCAGAGCCTGACTGAGATATTATAGTTTGGCTTTCCTTGTCAATAATTAATTTCCCATGGAAACCACCCAATGGAACAATCTTCTCTAGTCAAAACGGTCTAAGGTCTACCAAATAAATGGTGAAAGGATGGGAGAGGGAGTTCAGTAGGGTGGATTTCTGATTGACAGTTGGCTAAGACAGGAGGGCGTTTAGCCATAGCCGAGGTGATCCACTCTGTAAAACATTCAAGCATGACTGATATTAGTAGAAGGGTCTTGGTGAGAGGCAAGATCCGTGGCACTTTAGCAAACTTCCAGTTCTGTTGTGTTTCGTATCCTGAAACACAAAAGGCAAACTAAAATAGAGTAGAAGGCGCTCCATGCTGAAAGCCCTGCCTGATCAGTGCCACTTTTCATGCCTTTCCAGTACCACGGCTGTATCCAGAAACACAAAGACAAATGGAGATATCGCTTTCAGATCTCACTTACCAGAATGCTTTCAGTGTTGAAAACCCAGCCCCACGCAGAGGAAGGCTGACAGCGAGCCCTTCTGGAAAATTCTGAATTCCAATCCCAATTGCCAAATTTCTGTGGAAATATAAGGGATAATAGATATTACACAAAAGAACTTGTGTAGGGTGTGTGTGTGGAGGGGATAAGAGACATCAGACTGGGTTAGACCTCTTGTTGTGGGGGGGAAATCTTTGTTATTAAATATGGCTCTTTCATGTCAGTATTTTTCAGCCCCTTGGGGCCTAATGAAATCATGCTAATACTTGACATCCAACTCATAATTTTCATCTTCAAAGTATTTTACATAAGTTACTCAACTTAATAATGCCCCTGGGAGGCAATGAGGAACAGAGATGTGTAAGAAAAGACTTGTCAAAAAGAGGCCAATAGAACATTTAAATAGCAGTCTATGCCAAATCCCCAAGAACTGTAGCACGTATCAGATGCAGAAAAGTCGTGGTAATAGGGTGAGCATGTGTATGGCAAACTTTTGGAGACTGCTGTTTTTAGTCTTTTAACAACATAAAAAAAGCAGACACAGATAATGTCTACAAGTCCTGAAGGGATAAGTGCTTTGCAGGCACAGGAGTGAAACACATCAAAGCATTACAGGGGTTTCTAAACAAGACTGGGCATTGACATTTCTAAAGAGATGATCATTTATAGTTGTATTCAGTTGTTCCATCATCTGGAAACATCAACATAGCTATAAGGAAGCATTTATCCCTGCCCTCCTCCATTAATGTTTTCCTGAATCAAGTTTCAATGTGACTGATGAGAAAGCTTGTACATATGGTCTACATTTGAGCAGGAACCTCTCTTTTTTACATGCTTGTAACTATGTTGATATTTCTGCATGTCAGAACAATAGAGCAAATGTCTGCTTTACGTGTGAAAAATCTGCATATCTGGGAAGACATTAACTTAGAATCTCCTGCCCTAATGAGCAAATTTTCCATACAGAAGATGCTAAGATATTTTAATTTAATTTTCCAGTGACCAACACTGCCCTTCAAATGAGTTTTCTGAGGAAAGGAATATATATACATGGAAAACTATATTTTATGGTACTCTCATAATTAATGATGTTAATGAATGACTGCTTATTAGCAAAGGTGGGATGGAAATCACAAAAAGTACAGAAGCCGTAAGAGTGATGAGACAGCTTGGAACTGAGTTCCTTAAATTCTTAAACATAAGACTTAAGGGAAGCTGAAGCATTGCCTCCCATCCCCACCCCACTCCAAAGGCTTATTAAAGAAGAAATTTTTAACTTCGGCCTAACCCAACTCGTTCCTCAAACAGGCAACCAATACTTGAAAGTGTACCAGGTCCATTTCCAAATCTATGATACATGAACTACTTTGGAAGGAATGGAGAAAGACCAGTCACATACGGTCACATACAAAAAGTGGCCAATGTGATCAATTCATAAAAACCAAGCCTGAGAATTGGGCAATGCCTTGGGTAGATCACAAAAAAAGTCACAAATAACATGAGCTTTCAAGTTGTCCAGAACTCTTTACCAGGTAAAGAAAGTAGACGCCTTGGGAGTTAAAGAAAATAGTTCAAAAGCTGGGCCAAATGTAACTTGTTTTTCCTTGTTGGCTCATAGAAACAGACAGCCAACAAGGACAAAACTGAGTTTAGACACCATATGAGGCAGAACTGAGAAGGGTATCATTTTGCAGCTTCTCCTCCCTCCGCAGGCAAAAGCCTGGTTTCTGTTCCCCACTTCAAACTGGAGGTTGCCTTAGGTGGGCAATGTGGTTCTTTCTCTTTTGTCAGCTTCCAGCAGAAAAGCATAAGACAAAGCCTCAGTCATTACATTCACAAATAATAACTGTGTGCTATCAAATCCATACCGACTTATGGTGGCTATCTTCAAGGTTTTCTAGGTAGAGAGTACTCAGAAGTGGTTTACCTGTCCCTTCCTTTGGGGGGGGGGTTGCCCAGGAACTGTGCAGCTTGCCTGGAGGTACAGTGGGGAATCAAACTCCCAACCTCTGGCTCCTTAGCCAGATACCTAACTCATTAAATTGATTTATTCATTTAATTTGTATACCGTCTCATTAGTGCAACGCATTAATCTGAGCTGTTTACAACATGATAAAATAACATAAAACAAGAACTATGAAATTATAGCTAAAAACAGAAAAACATTTATTATTTATTTATTATGATGATTTATTTATTTGGAGTATCTTCCCCGCCTTCCTCCTTAAAAGGACCCAAGGCAGCTTAAAAAGACAATATTTAAAAACTAAAAAGAGTAAGTATACAAATATTTTTTTTAAAAAAATAAACAAGTATCTCATATTAAAATGGTAAAGAAAATCAATACCAAAAAAAACATTTAAAAGTAACAGAGCACAGCAATTCATTTAAAAAACCTCGCTGAGACATAATGTTAGCAGGGAAGCAGCTGTGGGATGATGCCTTTTCCCCTTGCAGGCTCAAGGAGCTCTTAGAAGTCACCATCCGATAACTCAGGTATAAATTGTTTCAGCTAATCTCTTCTATTTGTCTAAGCTTCAGACCAGACATTTCATTGTTAGTTTTGCCACCTTGTTAAGCATACGCTCTTGGACTTTATGAGGCCCTTGGAGAAAAATAACTCATCTTTGCTCCAAATGAGCGCACAGTGCTCACTATGCCTGATGCCACAATCCAGACTAATCTTTTATTTCACCCAAGATGCACCCATAGCTATGACTCAGGAACTCAGAAGGTTGTCTGCCATCACAAAAGGCTATTGGACTACCTAGTTCAGTATTCTTCACCCTGACAGCTCCCAATGTTTCAAATAATAATCCTGGAGTCCAACCTGGAGATACTTCAGACCCAGCATGGTTTCCAAATATGAAAGCTAGTGGGAGACTTGGGAGATCCATCTTCAAATCCATGCCTAGCCATAAAACTCAATGGGTGACCTTAGCCCGTCATTTTCTTTCAAACTGACCTACTTACGAGACTGTTATAAATATGAGGTGTGGCAGAAGAGAGTCAGGTGCTCTCTAATTTGAGGAAAATTAGAGGAAATAAACATAACGAACATACAAATTAGCTCCCGTTGCTTGTCCCAGCTCCTGCCAACCTAGCAGTTCAAAAGCATGTAAAATGTGAGTAGATAAATAAGTACCCCCACGGTGGGAAGGTAATGGTGTTCTGTGTCTAGTCGCGCTGGCCACGTGACCACGGAAACTGTCTATGGACAAACGCTGGCTCTACGGCTTGGAAACGGGGATGAGCACCGCCCCCTAGAGTTGGACACGGCTGGACTAAATGTCAAGGGGAACCTTTACCTTCAGCTTTACCTAAGATACATATAGATGTTATCAATATAACCAATAAAATAAATTATGAGGGGTGGATTTGGCCCTAGCTAGTAAAATACGGATTGAATGTGACCAAGCTGGTAAAATACAGATTATATAATGCTGCTGCTGGGTGGATTTGTAGCTTATTGGTGGGCTGTACCCAGAGAGTGCTCTCCAATGGTTCCTCATCACACTGGAGAAAAGTGACAAGCGGGGTGGGTGCCACAGGTTTCTGCCTTGGGACTGATGTTCAACTTGGATGAGGGTGTGGAATGGATGCTCACCAAATCTGTAGACGATACCAAATTTGGAGGGATAGCTAATACCTGAGGAGATAGAACCAGAATTCAAAATGATCACAACAAGGGGGGAAATTGGGCTTTAAAAAACCGAAATGCGTTTCAGCAGGAAAAAAATAGAGTTTAACATTAAGAGGGGAAAATGAGATAAACAAATATAAAATTGGTGATAGTTAGCTTAGCACTAGTACCTATGGAAAGCATCTAACAGCACAAACTAAACATGACTGAACTATCTGATGTAAGAGCAAAGAAAAAAAGTGAATACAATACTAGGCAGAGTCAAGAGATGTACAATCATATCCCACTTAGTTCTTAGGATACATTCCAAGGAAATGGAGCACGAACCGCCTCAGTGCTAAACAGGGTCATTCATTTTTTACTCTGCATGGACTGGTCTGCTATCTTGTTGCCACTCCTCCTGGAAATTCAGCAGCGCCTCAGCAACCCAATCCTAGCTGTGGAGAAGTGGCAACTCTACAGATGACTGCAGAGGGAGAAATCTACCCACCTGCATCCCAATTTAGAATATATATTTTAATTGCATTTTAATTATTTTGTCCTTTTATTTTGCCTTTTTATTGTATTTTAAATGCTATAAGCCGCCGCTGTCTCCAGCTTATCTCCTTGTATAGCAGCCATGGTCACATACAGGTGGCACTACTGTACAGCCACTACAATGATCCATTGTGGACATTTTTAACCCACACACGCTCTAGTGAAAAGTTTCTGAACTGTCAGAAGGAACTTCTATGCAGTTGGCATTTCCTAGTATTATAAAATGGCTGACCAAGCATGCATATTCTATGAATCGGTGATAAACAAGGTGGTACTGTGCAGAGCATGACTCTACAGTGTCAAGATCACAGAGATTCTGCTATCAAGATAGTGAAAGAAGAAACAGCTTCAGTTATTTGATCTGACAGTGCTAGTTATTACATTTAGGTTTTACCTAGTTATTACACTTAGGATTGTCTTATGTGACTTGGGCTTACTTTCCCCCCTCAAATTATCTGGGTTACATAGTTTTGTTTTATTTTTCATTTCCCTCCCAGTAACTCTTAAAAATCCCACTCAGGCAGCTAGCCACTGAGAGAAAGCATGCATAGTCTTTGCCTGCTTGCAGAAGGATAACAAAGATGGGGCCAGTCTGGCCTCTCGTGGGAGGGAGTTCCAAAGTGTGGGTGCAGCAACAGAGAGGGCCCTTTCCCATGTCCCTGTTAGACGCATCTGTGAAGGTAGCGGGACTGGAAGAAAAGCCTCTCCTGATGATCATAACACTTTACGAGGCTATGAATCTGGGTTATTTTGTTTAAAACCCTCAAAATCTGGTAAATCCATCCTTGAATCAGACCCAATGGCCATCAAATTGATGGAGAAGCAAGGCTGAGATGAGGAAGAGGCCAGGATGATCTTGCTCCAGAGTCCTCTCCACAACCTTTGAGACTGGTGAGTA